CGGTTTGATAGAGTGTCAAAATTTAAACAACCGGTTTGATAGAATTGTCAAAATTTAACATCCGGTTTGATAGAATTGTCAAAATTTAAAAGCCGGTTTGATAGAATTGTCAAAATTTAACAACTGGTTTGATAGAATTAATAATTGTCAAAATTTAAAACCAGTTCGATAGAATAGTCAAAATTTAACAACCGGTTTGATAGAATAGTCAAAATTTTACAACCTGTTTGATAAAATTGTCAAAATTTAAAAGCCGGTTTGATAGAATAGTCAAAATTTAACAACCGGTTTGATAGAATCATCAAAATTTAACAACTGGTTTGATAAAATTGTCAAAATTTAAAAACCACTTCGCCCAAACAGGACCGTACCGGCTTCAGCACAACGCAGCTTGTGTTGTTGCAGATGTTGTTTAATGTAAAAAAAATAAAAAATAAAAAATTTATTTACACAATTTTTAAAAAGTAAAGTGAATGAAGATGATTGTGAGGCGAATAATCAAATTTTGATTTAAATAAATGCTTATCAACAAAGAAAATTGTCTAGTTTATCACACCACTGAAAAACTGCAATACATAGCTAAACATTCTACAACACCATACACCGACATTAGAATGTACATTATGTTTCAGTGAGCGTACATGGTACACTACAACAGCACACAAAGCTCCAGGACACTGGTTCTCAACCTTCCTAATGCCATGAAACCCTTCCACAAAGTTCTTCATGTTTTGTCGACCCCCAACCATTAAATTAATTTTCGTCGCTACTTCATGAATATGTGTTTTCCGACGGTCTTTTGCGACCCTTGTGTAAGGGTCGTTCGATCCCCCCCCCCCACAGGAGTCGCGACCCACAGGTTGAGAACCACTGCTCTAGGACATGGTCGCCAAGTTGAAGTGACCATCACAATTTCAGATTATGTTTTTTGTTTGTATATTTTTTTTGTTTCTTTTAAACAATAGTTATAAAATATATTTTTATAAGTTAAATAACATGAATTCATTTCTAATTAATTTGCTATCTTATTTACTTTGTATGTATCTAATTTTTGTTTCAGAATACATTTTCTTGTGTTGTGTGTGTGTTTCGGTTTTTTGGTGAATTTTTTTGTTGTTTTTTTTTTTTTTGTTTTTTTGTTGTTGTTGTTTTTGTTTTTTTTCTTGTGTTGTGTGTGTGTTTCGGTTTTTTGGTGAATTTTTTTGTTGTTTTTTTTTTTTTGTTTTTTTTTTGTTTTTGTTTTTTTTTTTTTT